GCGTTATTAAGAATTATCGATCTCCTCAGGTATGCAACAGTAACGAGCAAATAATCACCGATAGCAGATGAATTTTGAGGAGATATTTACAGGTAAATATCGGTCCAGTTAGATCCCGGGGATAACAAGTTTCCCGACTAATAAACGGGGCGCGACTTTCCTCCCTTCTTAAATGCAATTACGGCACCACTTGAAGGGAGAAAAAAAAAAGCTTCCACCACGACAGGCTGGAACGTAAACGATCATAGAAGTCGAATCTATGAAATGCGGCGTTAATTAAAGCTCGTTACATCGAACTTGCCGGCAACTTCTCGCTAACAAGCCGTTCTCCGATCGAAATTCCAATAATCTCGATTCTTTTGTGACGTCCGAAGACGTTCGACTTTCTAAAAGCGTTCCACGAAAGGCTAAACTTATTCTCGATCGATCAAACGACTCGAGTTAAGTCACCGAAGGGTGAATGCTGGGACGTGCAAGAAACTGCACACGCGAACTATCGTTGGTGTGGTACGTTTGTTATATTATTGGGAAACTGGTAATCAGACAGTCGATTCTCTAGATTCATATAGGGAATTCATTTCAACCTTCATGTTCACCATTAAACAATTAATATTTTGTTTCAACCCTCACATCTACCATTGATCAATTAATACTTCGTTCCAACTTTCACTTTCATCCTCACGCAATTAATAATTCATTTCAACCCTTCGTTTACCATCAATCAATTAATATTTTGTCTCAACCCTCGTGTTTATCACTGATCAATTAATATTTTGCTTCACCCCTCACGCCACCACTAATCAATTAATGCTTGGTTTCAACCCTCACTTCTACCCTTAAACAATTAATAATTCGGTTCAACCCCCACGTTCCCCAGTAATCAATTACTATTTCATTTCAACCCTCACTTTCAATCTCAAAGAATTAATAATTCCTTTCGACCTCACGTTCGCCATTAAGCAATGAATATTTTGTTTCAACCCACACTTTTACCGGTGAACAATTAAATTCCGTTTCAACCACCTCGATTACCATAGAACAATTAAGCTCATAAAGAATTCCATTAATCGGCACGGAAATGACAATTGATGGATTTTCTCGGCGACTATTTTGATGCAGTTAATACGAGATACAGGAGAATTTCGAACGAATAGGAAACCGGACGCGCAAATAACGAAAAAGAAATACACACGGAATGAAAAAAGAAAAGGATACTTTTCCGCGGAGAACGTGTCGCGTTTTTCATCCAGTTCTCCAGCGCGTTAATAACATAAAAATAGTGTAAAATAACAAGAGGGAAAAAGCTTTGCCCGGCTTCCGCGCGCACAGAGAGAAGTCTCATTATCGTGTCCCAGTGCGGTGCTCATTAATTACTATGGTTTTTTTCCCGATCTCTCCACTTTGGCAGGCAAGTATTCGCGACAGACTGGCGCGAGTTGCGCGAACACGCGATGCCGCGAAACTGTGCAATTAAAAGTTCGATTTCGTATCGGGGAAGATACACTTGATTGACTCTGCGGAGAAAAATTTAATATCGCTGGATTCTTCTGGCTGCAGCGTTTAATTCGAATTAACCTTGTCACGTGTATGTACAGTTAATAATCGATATTTCGCGGGCTAACTTTTATTTCGTTTTGCGAAAAATATCTATATTCTGCGCATTATTCGAAACCCGAAATTGGACGCGATGAAATCCGATATTGGATAGTCGAATCATCGATTTCGATCTTCCGGTTAACAACGATTATTAGTTGAAATCGGCTTTGGAAATTGAAAAGCAGCGAGGGTAAACGTAGGGAAATTTCGAAAATTGGGAAGTTCAAATATTTCGAGAAATTTGAGCAAATCGAGAATTTTTGAATTTGCGAAATGTAGGGAATTTTAGAATGAGGAATTAATTGATAAAATTAAAAATATTATTATTAATCTTATTGTCATTAACGTTTTAAATTTATAAACGAATGCTAAACCGAGGGTTGACAAAGTATTAATTCAGAATTAAATTTAATTCCTGGGGAAAAGTGGTGTCCAAAACATGAAGGGAAGATGCTTTATATTAATGAAACAAACGGACTATGCAATTTCCGATGTTACAAATCAGGACAATATGATCATAGTATTACAGCTGTTCACAATACATGTAGTTACTACTTTTATTATTTAACTTATTTTGAAATTATGCTTGTACTATACGTGCTATTGTTTATTTTATATGAAATTTCTATGTGAAAATTTCAATAGATTCGGGTATTGTCATTTGAGTATTCGAGGTTACATAATAGTAACTTCTACTTTTGCATGACGATTTTCATATAATTAGACTCAGCATGAGTGTTTATCGTTGAAAACCAAATGGTTTCAACTGAATCAATTGCTGATAGATTTTCGTTATGTAGAGAAGTGTGCATCTTAGCCCTTGACAGACAATATAAATTGGAAGGATTAATAAGCGATCCTGATGTAATAGTTAAAATTGATTTGTAAAATTAGACGGAGGAAGTTTGAAAGAGAACATTTGCGTGAAGGAACAAGGGTATTAGGTACAATTTTTATGACTATTCTTATTTTCAATATATTTATTTTAATTTTTATCATCTATTTCATATTAAAAATTAGAACAGGGATAATAGAGCGAGGAGGGCAAAAATATCAGTTGCAAATATATCCTGGAAACAAACGAAATGAAAATACTCTCGTTCTATTAATTAGGAAACGTAGCTGCCGGTTCGGAAATACATATGGATTGTTGGAAGGTTTACATAAATTTAAATAAATATGGCTATGTTTTCAGAACTGTAAACCATAGCACTAATTTCGCAAACCCAGGAGGCGGTGCTTATACCCAGAGTATTGAAGAATCGTCCTGACATGTTTTGAGAGCACGACTCATTGTCAATAGAAGAGGTATTAGACAAGATAGTTTCATTGATTACATGTGTGAGTTTCTGTGGCGTTTCCAAACGAAGAAAAATAGGAAAGATCCATTTATACAAATCATTGATGATATTATATATGTAGGAATTGAATCAAAGATTTAAACAAAACACATAGAATAATTTATTTTAAACAGGCAAAACTGATACGCACAACAACCAAACTTTAAATTAACTATTTTATGAAACTAATACAAACAAAAACGCTATTTCAAATGGTTTCTCAACAGTTTTCCAGTATTTTTAGCCGTTCGCGATCACTCTCTCGAAACTCTTTTTCGCCTCTGAAATTCGCTTTCTCAGATCGCCGTTTTCTTTTTTTTTTCCGCTTTCAATTTCAATACATCTCGATAACTCGCGCACAACATTCACACCTATTAACAATCGATTCACTTCAACACAATATTCACGACTATTTACAATTCCACACTCCACAATTCCTTAATAATAAAGACAGGTATTAAAAAAAAATGAATCATGATACTAAAATATTAATACTACCAATCAATAAAAATACGATAATCAAGAGATTTGAACTAAATATCGATTGCATACTAATAATCCTTTACGTGAAAATATTAACTGCCTTAATACTGTCCCTTAAATATTATTTAACGTCAAGAATAAAAACAACGTAAAAGAATTCTGTAATAAAAGAATTTTTCTTGGCTTTATATTATTCTCATTTAAACAAGAAACTCGTGGACATCCTTTGAGGGCGTGTTTCCTTTTTTCGAAACTGTGTCATCCGCTTTCAGGAAGATTCAGATATTCCGTCCGTTGAAATGAATCATTATAATTGACTCTACTGGGTTGTATTAATACGATACAATTAATTCATGTTTAATTGCATTTCATTTACGTTCGCGTTTAAAATTGTAATGCCATTTGTATTCATAATTTTAATTAGCTAATTACTATTCATCGGTGGATATTGTGTCGCGCGAATTGCTATTCATTTTAGGGTAGATATTTGTGACATTAAGTTATATGGTACGTAACAAATATTCGATAAATTTATTTCATTCGTTTGCGATATTGCGAATTTACTTTGTGTGAAATTTTACTTTAATTTTGGGGGTTGTAAATGTACTGCGTGGTCAGTATTAACTCTTCTATATTTATTATATGTATACTTAGCTTTTTATGTACATTTTTTGGTATTTTCATGAATTCTAACCTAACTTCTACATTGTTTATTATATTTCATAGTAATTTTAATTTAATTTAACCACTGTATACTATCATATTTATTCTGTATTTTAATATAATCTCTACATATAATTATTTTTGCATATAACCTAAACTAACCTAACCTCTACATTGTTTATTATATTTCATAGTAATTTTAATTTAATTTAACCACTGTATACTATCATATTTATTCTGTATTTTAATATAACTTCTACATATATTTATTTTTGCATATAACCTAACCTAACCTAACCTCTACATTGTTTATTATATTTTACAGTAATTTTAATTTAATTTAACCACTGCATAATATTACATTTATTCTGTATTTTAATATAACCTCTACATATATTTATTTTTGCATATAGCCTAACCTAACCTAACCTCTACATTGTTTATTATATTTTACAGTAATTTTAATTTAATTTAACCACTGTATACTACTATATTTATTCTGTATTTTAATATAACCTCTACATATAATTATTTTTGCATATAACCTTCACATATCATTATTTCAACCAATATATATTTCGATATGATTTCATATTATTATTATTTACATTAATTTAATATTATTTTACAACCCATACATTAAAATCGATCAACTTTACATCCACGAGAATAATCTTGTAGAAAATATAACTTCGAATTTTAAAAGTTAAACAAAACGTTAAATGTGCAAACAAAACTTTAATTGTTATAAATCGAAATCAAAATGGCTGACATACAGGGTGCCTCAAAATTAGCGTAACTCTCGTAAAGATTCTAGCTAAGATTCTGAACTTCGCCAAAATTTAAAGCATCATAACTTTAATGTAGAATGTGTTACATAGGTTAAATACTATTATAACAAAATAATAGCAAACTCACCAGCACGAAGCGTAACTTCGCGAGAAAGCACCGAACCCACAGAACTGGTTGCACGACACCTGTATCTCGCGTTATGAACTTCCGCGCGAAAATCCTGCGCCAAAAAGGGTGGGAAGTAGAGGGTGCCATTTCCGAGCAACTGTCTGAAACAGCATAGAAAAAAAGAGGAATTAAATTTTAATATGTGCGTGCCCTTACGTCATTAATATTACCATTTCTTCTGGGTAAGTCGTACAACTTTTTTCTCACCCTTTTGTGAGTGAGACGCACACAAGTTCACTTAAAACAAATTTTACTTCTCTTTATTATTACTAAATGTGTTATCTGAATTTTTGAAATTTACCTCTGAGGAATGCAAACTTTAGAATTTTAGCAAGTTTTGCTTGCAAATTTTCAATTTTCTAAATTTCTAACTTTCATGTATTTGTAACTGTTGTGAGTGGCTCTTAAATTCGTAATTAAAATGCAGATTTAATTTGTAAATTTGTGAAATTGAAATTCTCAAATCTTTTCATGTCGTATTGTTATTACAATGTTTTAATACTTGTTTAAAGACTATGTTTATATAATATATTTTTTTATTTGAACATACATGTATACATGCATATACATACATATGTATACGAACATACACATACATATGTATACGTACATACATACTTACATATGTATACGTACATACACATACATATTTATACGTATATACGCATACATATGTATACGTACATACATATTTACATACATACATACGTACATACATACTTACATATGTGTGTATGTGTACTTTCAGTATAGAAGACCATAAAATCCTGATAACTCTGTACAACCCAAAGATTCAAGACCCGTAGAAAATCGATAAGCACAGAACAACTAAAAGTTGTCTTAAAAGATTCAAGTATCGCGTCAGAAGGTTCTAAAATTGTCTGGTTGAAAGTATTGATTGTTGGATGGGGTCAAACCATTCGGTAGTTTCGGCCAGACTCGTCATACGCGATTACCACGAAGTCGAAAGTTCAAGTGTTTCTAGGATCTTTGATTCTTCGACTCCTTAAATAATTTTGTCGTTAATTTTACATCCTGAAATTTGTTATTGGCAAGCTTAATAATTTTTGAGATCTATTTATAATTTTTTCAAGATAGAATGTTGAGTAATAGTATTTCTTGGTAGCTGGGACCTTAACATCTCAGTGTGTTATGTGTTGTAATATAATATATTACATAATATTGTATTTTAATATGTAATTAATATTACATTATAACATAGTATATGTATAATAGCATAATATAATATTGCATTTTAATATGTAATTAATATTATATTTGTACTCTACTGTTAAGCTGGAAATATTGGAATTTGGAAATTTTGAACTTGGAAATTTTGAACTTGGAAATTTTAGAATTTGGGAAATATGGGAATTTGGAAAATTTAGAATTTAAAAATATTGGAATTTGGAAACTTTGGACTTTGGAAAATTTGGAATTTGGAAAATTTGGAATTTGGAAAATTTGGAATTTGGGAAATTTGGAATTTAGAAAATTTAGAATTTAGAAATATTGGAATTTGGAAATTTTGGACTTTGGAAAATTTTGAACTTGGAAATTTTAGAATTTGGGAAATATGGGAATTTGGAAAATTTGGAATTTGGAAAATTTGGAATTTGAAAAATTTGGAAATTGGAAAATTTAAAATTTGGAAATATTGGCATTTGGAAATTTTGGAATTTGGAAAATTTGGAACTTGAAAAATTTGGAATTTAGAGAAATTAAAAATTTGAAAATTTGGAATTTTGGAGTTCTGGCAATCAGATGTAAGGCAATAAACTAAAATACTCGATACAATGTAACGACTCCTTGGGTGTTATTGCTGCTGTAGGTAAAGAAATTAACCGAAGGTCTGACCCTTCGCTATGGAACTAAATTCTAAAATTTAATAGCGGGCCTAAACAATATTATAACATAGTATATGTATAATACAATATGACACATGTATGATATGTTATTCTGACGAAGTATGATCATCAAGTCTTAAGAACCCCAGCTTAAGAGCCGATTTATACATACACCGAATGGTCCCGTTTCTTATATCGCATACTAGCTATTTCTTACGACTGTAACCTTCTTCTGGTGTTATCTTTACGTTACTACGGAAGTACAGTTACGAGTCGATCGGTAGGGACAAATTTGTCTTGCACCAGACGCGTTGTAATTTCAGCGCGAAATAACGCGAGGCAAATCGTATTTACCTTGCTAAGTGTCCTAGCTCCAGAGTGCGGATCATTATAGTCGAGCTTACGGGATTGAAGAAGTTTCAAGGGATTAACGCGAACGATACTGATTACATCGTTTTGTAAAACGTTTCGTTGATGGGATTACGGAGAATTGGATTTTGGTCATTAACAGGGGTGGAGGCGGACAAAATTTCTTGGGGGATTATTCCTTTTGGAGATTTTCAAATTTTTGTGTTTGAAGGTTTCTTTTGGATTTCTAGTTTTGCAATCTTTAAATTTCAAAATTTTAATTTTTCTAAATTTCAAATTTTCAAATTTTTAATTTCTCTAAATTACAAATTTTCCAAATTCCAAATTTTCCAAATTCCAAATTTTCTAAATTCCAAATTTTCCAAATTCCAAATTTTCCAAATTCCAAATTTTTCAAATTCCAAGTTTTCCAAAGTCCAAATTTTCCAAATTCCAAATTTCCCAAATTCCCACATTTCCCAAATTCTAAAATTTCTAAGTTCAAAATTTTCCAAAGTCCAAAATTTCCAAATTCCAATATTTCCAAACTCTAAATTTTTCAAATTCCAAATTTCCCAAATTCCAAATTTTTCAAATTCCAAATTTTCCAAATTCCAAATTTTCCAAATTCCCATATTTCCCAAATTCTAAATTTTTCAAATTCCAAATTTCCCAAATTCCCACATTTCCCAAATTCTAAAATTTCCAAGTTCAAAATTTTCCAAAGTTCAAAATTTCCAAATTCTAAATTTTTCAAATTCCAACATTTCAAAATTTTAAAATTCACCAAATTCGAAGATTCTAAAATTCCCAAATTTCCAAATACTAAAATTTGAAGTAGAATACCTGAGTATAGTAATTAGGGAGGAGAATATGGTCATGTTGCATCAGTAGAACATATATGGATCTATTCGAGATAAGCGCAACAACGTCATGTCTGATAGGACAAGTGACACCTGATTGTGCTACGGATTGGCGTAAATTACGTGATTCGTCAACTGATATAATTAAACACGTAATTGCAAAACCAAGACTCTGTGTCTAATTAAACCTTCCCCTTACATCATCTGCATAAATTAATTACCATCAATGCACCACTCAAGTTTTAATTTTAAAAAATTATACCTTTGAATTTAAATTTTTATGATGCTTCTACTGCAAAGATTAAATTTTCAAGATCTGAGCTTTCAAGTTTAAACTTTCATAATATTTGAGCTTTCGAACTTAAATTTTCAACATCTGCGCTTGCGACCTTGAATTATTAAAATTTGTACTCTGGAGTTCAAATTTGCTAAATTTTAGCTTACAAACAGAAATTTGCATAATTATTATGCCTTCAAGTTTGAATTTTCAAGATCTGAGCTTCCAAATTTAAATTCTCATAATATTTGAGCTTTCGAACTTAAATTTTCAGCATCTGAGCTTGCGAGC